TGTGAAAATATCAGATGAACAATACTCATGAGTATTTTGCCGAAAGTGGTATGAGTACTCAACAATACCCAAGCATGAGTACTCAAAGTCGTACTCAGAGTACTTGTTACTCACTCATGAGTACTCATGTGAGTATTCAGTGAGTAAAAAAATGTATGAGTACGTATGAGTACTCGTCCGGTTTTTCTAGCAGAGTACTTTTTGAGTACTCACACTTGAGTACATTCACTAGGGCCTTGGCATGTTTACTAAATTCTAGACAACTACCTAATTCAGCACATTTTTGAAAACCAACCGTGAAGATGTTAATATATTCAGTTGGTAGCATTTTTAATATGTAAGCCGATGTTCCGACATTGTCAGTCGATTTTTTCTTTTGGATCCTATTCAAACTCTTTTTAACTTCTTCCATTGTAATTTGTTGTAATGGAATATTTGGCATATAAGAGATCTTAGTGTATTCCTCCATCGCTTCTTTATGGGCTGGTATATTCAGATCATATACCGGAGTTCCAAAGTGCTTTTCGTAGTAGTCAGCTAGTAGATTTGCTACTTTTTCGTCGTCTTTTATTACACCAGAGTCCGTGGTAATACCTTTAAATGGAGGAGAGTACGGGGGAAAAGTTGGACGAACAAAGTTCCAGATATTATTACGATTAGAGATCAAGGACATTTTATCCTCTCTTCGTTTGCTCACATATAGGCATTTCTCATATAAGAAAGTGTTTCTCCAGTATAAATAATTACATAGGTGTTTAATTTTACGAGTCTTTTTGTATCTACTTTTCGCTTTATTTTGATTTCGCGCTATTGAAACGAGATATGGCAGCCAAGGTGGCCGGTATTTCTTTATCGGTATAAATACACTAGTACGATCCATATATACTATCATTGAAACTAACTTTGTCTATCAATATCCAGATTTTATCCTAACAATCTTCTTTTACATTTTCTGTAGTGTATTACAGGTGTTTTCTATTAATTATTAAAATACACCTGTGTGTAATGAAAAAGTTCATATCCGGCATATGTTAGAATTTTATTATATACTATGAGAAGAATCACACAAAGGTTATCGTTTTTTTTTAATTTAAAGGTATTAAAACGGAATAAATATATCGATAATTAATTTCGATGTTGTTCATATGAGTTGTGAACACTTCGTCTATAACAGATGTCTCATAATAAAAGAGCTTCTCCATATTTTGACTGTAGCTTTTTATCGGGATATTATTGTTTCATCGATAATAATTTCTTGCTCGATTCGTCGACAGTTTTTTTATCTTAATTCGTCGACACTATCATAAAACAATCAGGTCTCAAAAGTTGAGAAGATAAAAAGGATCCATTCTTGTTTTGTCGACCGTAATTAAATTATTACTGTTTCGTCGACATTAGTTTCCTACTCGATTCGTCGACACTATATTTAGAATCGATTAACCTTGATTCTTGTTTCGTCGACAGCTTTTTTTAATCATTATGAAAACATAAAATTATGGTTGTAATTATAAAAATGTCTACTATAATTTTAAATTTGAAAAAAGTTTATAAAATTCAATAAAAATTATATGTTAATCGTAATAATCGTTTACATAAATTTAGAAGATAGATATAAACAAAATAGTGTAAATTTAAATGACTTTTTATGTAAGATAATCTAAAACATTAGGTATTCAAAAGTTTTAATCTTTTATGTCAAATTTTTTTCAAGACTATATTATTATGTTGATGCAAAATTAACGACCGTTTTTATTAGTGCCCTTCGAATCTTTCTAATTTAGCATTTTGTCTCAATCTTTTTTCAGAATAATATTCCTTACTTCCTTTTAATAAGAATGCGTGTCGATAACCACGTTCATATTCGTCATATCATGCTTTATCACTTCGAGAAAGGTCACACTGCCGCTGAAGCATTTCGCGATCTCAACAAACTCTTCGGTGAAGGAACAATCGGTGAAAGACAAGTCCGAAGATGGTTCAATCGTTTCAAATCCGGCAATACAAGCTTAGAAGATGAGGAAGGAAGAGATCGTCCGTCTGATTTTGATAATCAAGCTCTTTTGCAAGCGGTAGAAGAAGACGAAAGTTTGACGACACGGATGTTGGCCGAGCAATTCGACGTCGCCCAGTCCACCATTGTTAGGCGACTCAAAAAGCTCGGAAAAGTATGGACATTGGTTGGATGGGTCCCACACGAACTCTCCAATGATAACAAGGCCGAGCGAGTCCATCTCTCCAAATCCACTTCTCCAGTTCTTTGTCATCGGCGATGAGTCATGGTTACTCTCCAAAAACGTCAAGCGAAAGTAGATGTGCGTTAACCGTGGCCAATCTCCAAAAAGTATTCCAAATGACTTCCACTGCAAGAAGGCCATGTGGTGTGTATGGTGGGACCGCTCTGGGATTGTTCACTGGGAAATCATCGCTAAAGTTCGCCAACAAAGTTTCTGTTATTGGTGGGACGAAAACGATGTGAAACATGAATGGCCTGTTCCTGACAGAAATGGGAAAAAGCAGCACAACATTAACAGCGACGTCTATCTGGCTCAAGTCGATCGCTTGGAAGCCGCTATCAAAGCCAAACGTCCTCGCAAGAAGAACCACAGCGTGTTTCACCATGACAACGCCAGGCCACATGTCGAACATCGAGTAATCCAATCAATCAACGAAAAAGGATGGGAACTGCTTGAGCACCCACCATATTCTCCCACTGAAGCTCCTACAGACTATCACGTCAATCGTTCGCTCAAAAATTGGCAGACGGACAAAGTCTACGATGATTTGGACGATCTTGTCGCTGACGTCAAAGCGTGGATTGCATCCAAGAATCGTCACGTTTTTGCACGTGAAATCGATCGTTTGCCAAGCAAATGGGAAGCAGTTATTGAAGTAGATGGCGATTATGCTCCAGAATGATCATTTAAACATGTTTTGAGTGTACTTTGGTGTTGTATTATTGAATAAATTTAGAATCAATAAAAACGGTCGTTAATTTTGCATCAACACAATATATGCATGATCATTTTTGAAAAATTCTATAATTACAACTATAATTCCTTGTTTTACAACGAATAAAAAAAGCTGTCGACGAAACAAGAATCAAGGTTAATTGATTCTAGACATAGTATCAACGAATTAAGATAAAAAAAAGTGTCGATGAATCGAGCAAGAAAGTAATGTCGATGAAACAATAATAATTTAATTACTGTCGACAAAACAAGAATGGATTCTTTTTATCTTTCTAACTTTTAGATCTGATTATTTTTCCAAAAGATGTGCTGACAAATTCTGTACAAGACGTGTATCAAATATTTTTCTATAGTAAGTTAAGGAAAAGAATTAAACAAAGAAAACACAACATGTATAAATGGACTAATTTTCAGAGTCGTTTTGTTTTATCAACTTAAGAATATTTTAAACAATTCTCTAAGACTACGAAACAAAGATGAAGATGTTTCTGAGTACTTTGAAGTATGCTCTTTCTCCTTATGTAATTCAAAGTAAACGTTGACAAATCGAACTTTTCAAAATCCCATTAAAAATCAGCAAAATCTTGTATACTTGTCAGCTGAAATTAAGAAGAAAACTGTAGGTAAAAGTTTTGCGCATGTGAATATGGTTCACTAGTCATGTCTCATCAAAAGAAAACAGAACGCAAGCTCAAAAAAGCCCATTTTTCTTAATTATGTGTGTTTTTCCAGGAACTGTGAAATTACTGAGTCAAACAGACGAATTTTCCGGAAACTCAACAATGCATAACTTGCACGAATAAAATCGGTGCAAGTCTCAAGATTGACATGAAATTTTTTTACTTATTAATAGTTGATAGAACTTTTCCTAGACTACAAAATGCTTATATTATTTTATTTTTCTTGTTGCTAGTTATTGAAAAAATGTGAAAAAACTGTTTTTCAGCCGTTTATACTTGTTGTGTTTTCTTTGTTTCATTCTTTTCTTTAACTTACTATAGAAAAATATCTGATACATGTCTTGTACAGAATTTGACAGCGCATCTTTTGGAAAAATAATCCAATCTAAAAGTTGAGAAGATAAAAAGTTATAGTTAAAGTATGGCGAGGCTCATTTATTAAGAGACACCCGTTAATTGTTTCTATTTTAATTGGAGAAATTATTGTAAACTTTTTTTAATTACTGTTTTTGAACTTCAGATGTAGCAGAACACAAATTGAACATTCGTAAATTTCTCTGGATAGTCTCGTGGGACTTTTATTCTACTTACAAACTTTCTTAATTGTTTGCTGGAATATTATGAAAATTTTTAATAAGTTTAGTATTGCCTTTCATTTTCTTATTCTCATGCTTTAAAATATATATCATGAAATTTTTAGGTGTTATGAACATTGTCCAACCGGGTGATTGAAATTTTAAAAATTTAATACAATTTCTAAATTTCAATTTTAAACTCATTTTTTGTCATTTGGTAGAGCAGATTAAGATGTATATGTGCAAAACCTTTCATCGTTATCAGACAAGATTTGAAAATAACTTGGAAAATGGTTTTTAGCGCAAAAAGTAGGGTTTTTCGACGTTTTATAGGCACATTCTCGTAAGGAAGGCACTTTTGAGCAAACGTGTATAAACGAAGATTTCTTAGAATCTTGTTTTGTGTAAGAAAACTGTGTTGATATTATGGAACACCTAAATGCAAATTTTTAAAGTTAAAAATACGAAACTTAGATAAGAGCTACGGCTCTTGACCAAACTCGGTCCTAAAAATAACTTTTTTGCCAAATGAGATGAAAATATCGAAGAAACATAAAAATCGCAGAACATAGGTGATTTGACGTACTGAAACGGATAGCAGCATCAGAAATTGGAATAGAGAAAATTTTTTCTGTTCGGTTTTTCAGAGATCCAATTTTCAAAACTGGTTTGAGCCTTGAACAAAATTTCGCTTCAGGGAAGCATTTTTGAAGAAACGTGTAGGAACAAAAGTCGTTCAGGATCGAATTCTACATGGGATGAGGTAAGGGAATTTTTGGAATTCCTAAAATTCGATTTTTAAATTCAAAAATACCGTTTTTAAAAATTGAATTTACAATCGAGTTTTAGGAATTCCAAAAATTCCCTTACCTCATCCCATGTAGAATTCGATCCTGAACGACTTTGTTCCCACATTTTTCCAAAATGCTTCTATCGTACAAAACCTTGTTCAAGGTTTTCTTACAAATACTTTTTACACCAAAAATGGTTCGGGCGAGCCAAACCTCAATTTCTCCGTCAGACTTGACCCGACTACGATGGAAATTCTTTTTATAGATACATTTCAACGTGCCCTATCGAACGGCAACAAATTCAGAATTTTGTGTCGAAAAATGAAAATTTTATTAAAATTTTTTAAAATGGAGCAAAAAACCGAGACCTAACTTAAAAAAAGTTTTTCTCATAAACTATAGACTCTGTAACCGAAAAAAATGTCGAGATATATATTTCAAAGTGCCCGCTACAAATTGGTAGGAAAAGCCGAGTGGGTAGACTCTCCCCTTTAACAAAATAAAAATAATTTTTAGTTCATATGAATTCGTAAAGGAGTCGAAGATTTTTCAAATCGAGATGAATCAGAACTACTTCGACTTTTTTCTTCAGTTATTCCATCGCGATAAGAAACGCCAAGAGCATTTTAGATTATTTCTAGTGAAAAAGAATGTAGGCACGAAAAAAAAGCAGAGTTTTTTTCACTAATTACTAAAAGAAGTTGATGATTATTTTTTACACGTGTTCTTCACATTTCAATAGTAAACCCTCGTAGCCTAGTATTCAATGTCTTTATACTAGACATTTCACTAAAGTCATCGATATTGTTGTCAGAATGAACAGATGTTTTAACTTTTATTTTTCCTATTTTCTGTCTAGATTACAGTTAAGTATTTTGGATTCAGATATAGCACTCTATTTAAACTTTTTACTGTATTTTTGTCTAAGAAAATAAGTTCAAAAATATTGCACGATTTGACATTTAATAAATTTCTATTAATAATGACGATGATTTTATTTGGTATTTTTTATGACGATCTCTATACCCCTTTTTTTTCTTCCTTTATAGTTGTCGGATCGTGCGTATAGTGCACTAGAGTAATGAATCGGAAGAGGAATAATAATTGTAGGAGAATGTGTGATGAAATCAAGGGATCGAAAAATAAAAATTTGATATGACGATGATGATAAGGAGCAGTTACCAATGTAATCATATTTAGAGAAGAAAAAAAAAAACAACAACATTGTCTTTTATTATGAAGAAGAAATGATGAGATTTTTCTTTAGTTCTTATTTGTGTGCTAGACGATTGCTAAAAAGAAATCAAGTAACATTGGCATAAAACAAAGCAGAAAAAACGCTAATATAATAATAACTAGATAAGACTGAAATTACGACCTTGTAATCTGAATTGAATACTTAACTGATAAATTTCATTTCCAAAAAGGGAAAGAGAGAAAAGTCTTTTTTAGAATTCTATCATTCGATCATATAACTCTAGGTAATAGTACTTTATGCAATTTTTTCAATAAACTTCTCTTTCAAAAACAACTACGTTTAAGTGAGTTGTTTATCGACATTTGTAATATTTTAGATTTTTTTTTTACAGGAAAACGAAAACTACAACTGAGTACTAGCGCTCGTTTGCTTTTACGGTAAAAAATTTGGTTTTTGTTTTAATTCTTTTTTGTTGTTATTATTGTTCTATAATTGATGAAGATAATGACAGAAAAACGCAAACAGTTGTAAGTAGCGAAGTGATAAACGAATATTTTTCATATGGAATTCCATTCTACTGTCATCAATCTCTCTATATATCAACATTGTGATACAAAACAGATATCTGAATTAAAAAATATCTTCCATTATATTACGAGCGTGTCATACATTTGTTTCTACAAACAAAAAAAATAAGAAAATAAATGTTGTATCTATGCATTTCTCTTTTCCATTCTCCTCAACATTTTTCTTGTCAAAAAAAGCGAAAACATTTCTGATTTTCTTTCTTAGCACAATTTTTTTTGTATAAAAATAATATGACGTTTAACGAAAAAAACTCTCTTTGGTTATATATGCTCAACATCATCGTTGTATTGTAGGACAATACATCATGAATGAATGAATGGATCTATCAGAAAAAAAAAAGAATAAAAAAACTATATACGGAGAACAAAAAAATTGCAAAACAAGCATCTTCTCGTAGATACAACGTCAACCTGTCTAATAATATTCTTATTTTATTTTCATGTTTATAGATGTGTCAAACAGGCACCAATCCTCTTGGTAATCGTTTCGCTCGTTTTTACCATTATCATTCACCAAATACAAACTGATATAATATAAAAGTGCTGGTCTTGGCCATTGTACATAAATCTATTTAAATCAACAGATAATTCTCATTAATATTCGTTATATTTTGAATGAAATAATTTTTTTTCGATTTTTCTTCACTTTTTTTTGTCAAACAAATATCAATCAACTTAGTTTTATGTCAATATTCTTAATAATATAAACATTTTCTCTCAGAATGTAGAATCCGTTGCTGTAACAAACAACAAAAACATATACAATATAAAAAAAAATATATATAATATACAAAGTTACAAGCGTATTCATTAAGGCATAACAAAATTATGCTTATCAAAGAATATCGTATACCGCTACCATTGACTGTTGAAGAATATAGAATAGCTCAATTATACATGATTATTGTAAGTTATTTTTTAATTGCATTTTACTACATATGTGTGATAATTTACACGATTTCCTTTCCGTGGATTTACCTTCCATTAATTTATTTCTATTTTACAATAGTTTTTTTTTCCACCGAAAAGTATAATTTTTGTTGCTGAGGATTTACTTTCTGTTGATTACATAGAAATAGATTCCAATTAGCCACTTTCTTGTGCAAGGATTTACTTTCCACTAATTATTTGAACGAAAAGAAATGAAAAAATGAATATTCATTGCAACAACCAATGTAACAGAAAACGATGTCTCTTTAACTATATGATCTATTGGACCAGATTCTTCAATAACTTTGTGTTTTATATTTTTTCGAATTTGTAATGTTTTCATAACAGTTTGAGTTGGTAACTCATTGGAACTTTTGAAATTAATACAAACTAGTTTATAAAAGTCTCGTATTACGAATTTAATATGATACTCTTTTAAACTAGTTCGAATTAATTTCAAAAGTTTCAATGTGTAATATGTATGATCGTTACGTACTACGACTGACAAATCTGAGTAAGTTGTTGCTATTGCTTTATATTTCATATATACCAAATACACTGAATCATATTGATTTTCACTTTTGAAATAATATCGATAATCGAGATAGCTAAATTGCCTTTTGTCATGTGTAGATTCAACAAACTTAGCAGACATTTTTAAAAGAAAGTGTGAGAACAGAACTGTGCATCTCTACCCTTATATACATTTTTACAAAGATTATCATACTGATGACTATTCCAGTTCCAAATACGTAATTCCGTTAAATATGGTGATTACCGTCCTCCTTTCCCAGCATTTCCTGTTATTTAGCATCTAGTACATTTCTCATTCCGCGTCTGCAGTCTACTTAATTGTTCCCTTAGTGATCAATGTTTGTTCCGTTTGGAAAAATGATGAGTTGTTGCAATGAAATTTGTTCATTTCTTTTCATCCAAATACTCAGTAGAAAGTAAATTCCTATACAAAAAAGTGCCTAATTGGAATCTATTTCTATGTAATTAACGGAAAGTAAATCTTCTACAACAAAAATTATACTTTTTGGTGAAAAAAATAGAAATGAATCAATGAAAAGGAAATCCGTGGAAAGGACATCGTGTACTTGATGTGTGATAACTGAATGGATCAAATGTATCTTCTTTTCTGAAAGTAATGGCCATAGATCATTGAAAACTCTATCAATTGTTGTAACAATTATACCATACGCAGTTGATCATAATTAGCTAACCATAATCAATTGTATAGTATATTGATAAATAATGAGAGAAAATTGAGCTAGATTGATGGTTATTTATCCGAACAGTCAGTTAACTTAACAATCTTAATTCATTTTTATATTTTTTTTCCATAATTAAATGATAGTGTAAAGCCAAAGATTGAACAAAATAGCAGTTTCAGACTACGCTTAAGAAGATATCATTAGTTCAAACTCTGAAAACTGATTGAAAGCTTTATTCAGTACTATCGCTTATATTTTCATATATTCTTTTCGACTTAGTAATCAATACTCATCTTAAAATTAGCTTTTTCTAAAAAAATAAGAATGTCAAGAAAAAAATTTTATGCATTAGAGTGCGTTTCCTTAGAATAGAGAGTCTGGTTCAGCCTAATTAACCTTCTATACGTCTTTCTCTTCGTTCTCTTTGTTTTTCTGAGTTAGTCAGACATTCTGTTTCAAACAGAATACTTGTTTTTATGTGAACTTCTTTGTTTCCTAACCAAACAGAGAAAAATAAAATTCGATTGAAATATGATCCGTAATTACGGAAACATGTTCAAGTGGATAAGATAAACTAATGACGAGTTAATCGTCTAATAATTTTTGAAATAGTGTACGTAATGCGTAAAAATTTTTTCAATTAATCATTTACTTTTAGACGATCATTATGGACTCTCGTTCAAGGTAGCAAATAAATATATTCTGTGTTTTATAAGCATGCAAACACGCTTTTCAAATATAACTATAGAAATTAACACAGCGCATTTGGAGTGGGTGCGTGTAGTCATGTCATTCGGAAAAGGGGCTAGATATGTTTCAAAGAAGTAATTTGTAGACTATCACTTAATTATAGCTGCTCTTGTGCATTTTTAATAGCTTAACATGATTACACTAACATTAATTATATGATTAAAAAGAAACATCGCACTGTCTTTATTACTTAGGTATACAGTAATGGGTTTTTTTTTATTTTAAAGAAAAAAAGTCGTGAAGAATCAAACGGAGCCGGTAGTGGTGTGGAAATAGTCAAAAATGAACCATATGAAAATGGACCAGGTGGAAACGGTGGACAATATACGTTCAAAATCTACCATATTGAGCGACATTTGCCAAGTAAAAGTTTTTAATCAACATTATTTAAACTTAACGATCATTAAAACTAATGATTTCTTTTTTAGCTTGGTTCAAAGCAATTATTCCAGCGAGTGCAATGCGTGTCGAAGAAGAAGCATGGAATGCTTATCCATACACTAAGACACGTTATAGATGTCCATTTATCGAAAAATTTACGCTTGAGGTAGAAACACGGTATAAAAATGATTATGGTGAACAAGAAAATATTTTTCAATTAAAACCGCAAGAGATTGAGCAACGTGTAGTCGGTAAAAGTTCTCATCCATCTTTTCTCAATGACGAAAATAGCATTACTATTTCTTTGTTATAGAATTTCTTGACATTGTTCAAAGTCAACCGGTGGCTGATGATACACCAGAAGAAAATCCGGCAGTGTTTCATTCGGAAAAAACAGGACGTGGTCCGTTATCTCCCGATTGGTTTGAACAGATGAAAAAGAAGGGAAAGAAAGAGATTATGTGTGCATATAAATTATGCCGGGTAGAATTTCGTTACTGGGGAATGCAGTCTAAGTGTGAGAGATTTATTTGTGAAATAGGTATGCACGTTGTTGTTTCTCGCTATTAAAGTAATGATTATCAATTATTTTTATCTATTATCAAGCGTTAAGAAAGACCATACTTCGTGCACATAGACAAGCTTGGTGTTGGCAGGTATATAAAAGTTTTAATTATAATTATTCAGACATTTTTTCATAAATGAATAATTTTTATAATGTAGGAAGAATTTCAAGGATTAACACTAGCAGATATTCGGCGTTTAGAAGATGATACACAACATGAATTAAATCAACGTATGGCAAGATTTCATAATCGTGATATACCGTCAGTTCTAAGTAGTTCTGAAGAAACAATGACAACAACAACAACAGAATCATCTGATATCAACAAACCATTATCAACCAAGCGAAACAGGCAGTTATCAATTGATAATATTAGTTCAAGTACGGTGGTGACAACTGATTGTGTACCTGAAAATATTTCTTTTGCTTTTATTCCAGATCGTTCACGATTAAATTCATTTCCAGTGCCCGTAATACCTCGCGGAGAACAAGACGATGACGAGTTTTTCGATGCTGAATGTAAATATTACAAGAACTTATCTGATATTTAGACAGAAATATGATATTTTTTTCTATTTTTAGCTCAAGTCGGAGACTTAGCAACATCGCCCACCTATCTTTCTTTATATAATACATCAGCATCTTTAGAAGATATTCATTTAAACGAAAAAAACATCGAATATGATTCCTATCGTTCAAGTGTTGATGAAGATGATACAACTCGTTTAATCTCTTCAGCAGATAAATGTTCAATTGACTTACTTATACTCATTTTTTATGCTGGTTTGTTATTAACTGTTTTTATCTTTCATTATATGATTGATATTCGTTTTATTTATTAAGGTAATATTTATTCTACGGAAGAGACATTTGAAAGTGCAAAAAAAACAGATTTTTTCAGTTTTCGTGCAACATTTGATAATGTTGTTAGAAATCATTACCCACGTATTGAAGGGAAGACGGCAATAAGATTTGTGTCGTGTGAGGCCATATGCACGGAAGCTATCAGTGTTCTTAACAAGTAACTATTAGACTTTACAATTGTTGCTTTTCTTCTATAAATAATATATTTTAGTTTATCACCCTATGGTGTTTCAACCACAAAAGATATGACTTATAACGAAAATTTACCATTACATGCTATTCCACTATTTGCGATATCGAATCCTGATTATCATTTGAAAGTATCTAACACTGTCGAAGCTGCTAATAAAGTTTACAATGAATTTATTACGTCTAAAGATGGAAAAAATTTTTGTGGACAGGTCTGATTTATTTGTCTATAAAGAGTCGAATTTGCCTATAGTGAGTGTTGTTCTATGTTCTAGATTGTTGTTATAGGTGATTCCAATGGTGCAATACTTGCGTACGATGCAGTATGTATAGGTCGTAATATGGATGATACAACGTCGTTATACGGTGAGGATTCCAACACTCCTCGAGCTCGAACACCAGGAACACAAAAGAAGTTAAATAATGCTTTATCAACTGATGGCGACACACTTTCAATTCATTCATCGACAAAATATAATAGTTTAACAAAAAATGAAAATTTGGATAGCATGTGCGTACATAGGCAGTATATGCGTTTAATTGACATGCATTTATTGATTAATCTCTAATCTAGATCACGTTCGGGTGATAACAGTCGCTCTGGTGTAACTTTAGCATTTGATGTCAATGAATTTTTTTCGTTTGGCTCACCATTATCCCTGATATTAGCGTACAGACGTTTATTAGCAAACAACTGTAAGTAGAAGAAAACATTTTTAATAGCATAAAGCGTTACCGTTTAGATTCGAGTTTGAAAATTCAAGTTAATGACTAATTTGTTTGTGTCAGTAATAATCATTTTATTTTTCTACTATTTTAGTGGTAAAACCATATTGTGGCCAATTGTACAATTTGTTTCATGCGTGTGATCCAAATGCAGCTCGCATCGAACCATTAATAGTCGCTGAATTTGCTCATATACAACCGTGTTTTATTCCAAGGTATTCTCAGTATCCAATGAGTGACGGAGAATCGACACTATTAGGTATTTTCAAGACCCATAGTTCTACATTGTTCATAACTAATATTATTTTAGTCGAATATGTTCATCGCTATTCGAATTTATTTTTGAAATCTCAAAAAGATAGTTTAAATGCAATTAATAATGTAAACAGTGTTATGCCAACATTTTCACATGTAGTCAATACAAATCGTGTTTCTAATGGAATGGATATTAATGCCGATACTATCTTCTCGAATAGTATGATAATCATATTATCACTTTCTTTTACTAAAACTTTCTTTTCTTTTTCCTAGTTCGTCGTGAATGGTGGGGTAGTCGAAGGATAGACTACATTTTGTATTGTCCAGACTCTTTGATGAGTCAACCAGCGCATATTTTACCAATCGTATTTCATTCGAGTTATTGGGAATCACGTGATGTTATTGCATTCATATTACGACAGGTATAAAGAATATTGAATTCATTGATACCTATCTTATAAACGTCTGTTAAGTGTATGTTGTTTTTAGATTACACGTACTGAACGCAACGTTCCAGTTGGTAATGATCCTGTCATTCATCGATCATTCGCACCAGATCAAGCTACCGAAAAATGGTTACATCGTACGACAGCTGTTAAAATAAGAAATTTGGCACCAAATCATCGGGCAAATGATACAATGGTGGTTGATCATAAGCCACAAATCATTTCAGCCAAATTTCACTATGGACCAATCGATATGGTTTGTTTAGCGAATGAAAAGGTAATGCAATATAAATAAAACAAGAATCTTATTCACAAAATGTATATTATTGTTTTGAATATAGGTTGATATTTACGTGATGCGATCGGAACCTTATGGTGAATGGTTACTGTTAAATACGAATGAAACCGATGCACATGGTCGAATTCGATTTAAGATACCGGAAGATATGAAATTGCCATTAGGAATGCATCCAGTTAAACTCGTTGTTAGGTAATGACTTGAGCTTTTTGTCTATTCTTACCGTTCCATATTAATTATATATCTATCTATTTAGGGGTGATCATACGTCAGTCGATTTATATTTAACTGTATTACCTCCTAACAGCGAAGCTGTTGTGTTCAGTATTGATGGCTCATTTACGGCTTCTTTCTCTGTTAGTGCAAGTGATCCAAAAGTGCGTCCAGGAGCGGTTGATGTTGTCAGGTATTTCAACTGATTTTCATAACTTTTTCACTATAAAATTTATAAATTTATGATTTTAAATTTTATAGACATTGGCGAGAACTTGGCTATATTATTATCTACATTACCGCTCGTCCAGATATTCAGCAGCATAAAGTTGTACATTGGCTTGCTCAACATAATTTTCCTCATGGTAATATGTTTAGTTAAAAAACAATAGTGTTTAATATAATCGTTTATTTAGGGATGACATTATTCAACGATGGTTTATCACGAGAACCTATTAAAAATAAGACTGAAATGTTACGTTCAGTCATTGAATGTGCTGAGTTAACGATTGGGGCTGCTTACGGATCTTCCAAAGATGTGCCAGTTTATCAAGCGTGTAAAGTACCAGCCGATCGTATATTTGTAATTGGAAAATTCAAAAATCGTTTACAAAACCAAGCACGATTTTTGGTTGATGGTTATGCATTACATTTAGCTGAGTTAACAAAACCAGGTGTATGCCGACCAGCCCGATCCAATGCACGTCATATTATCCGTAAAGCATGCTTCAATTTACCCAAACTTTCATCTTTAATTATTCATGAATCGACACCACCACCATCATCTCCATCTGCCATTTCTTCTTCATTACCAGTACATATAGTATCTAATTCATCATTACCATCATCTGACATGATCACTTCTCAAAAATTGCCGTTAACTGATAATACTGACAATAAAAAAAGTCCCTCACAGGGTATTAAATCAATGTCAAATTCAAAAGAGGCGCCATATCGAGGAGTTTCGCCACGTCTGCGAACAACACCTACCGGTACGTATGATCCGAGTGCAATAGAGCGTCTCTAATAGACAGTGTACATCTTCATGATCAGTTTCTCATGAATCGATGTTTCCACCGTTTAGGTGTTTTTTAGTCAGATTTGTTTCTATTGTAATCTTTTTTTGTAATACTTATAGAGCTTTTCTTTTAAATTACAATATTGAATTGTTCGTTTTCCTTACTTATGTTCATAATTTAAATCTATTGTCAGATTTTTGTTCGGTATGATATTTTTGTAAAACAGTGAAAAAACATCGATTTATGTTAAAAGAGTGTTCTGTTTTCTTTTTTATTTACAACATGCTCGAATATGATAACTGATAAAGCTCTTACGTTGTCATGTGGTATTGCTATTATCATTATGTGTGGATATTGTGTTGATGTACTGTCCAAAAAGAACTCAACTTTTTGCAAATTGTCAATAAGAACTTTCTAAGCTGTATGCCGCCAAAGATAGTAAGAAATAGTTTTTAATCCACCAGTTGTCGAATTTAGTAAAGCTGAGTAGAATTACTTCGTTCTAGCAATTATACTTCGCACGTACAGAGCTATTTCATTTTGTTTCATGAAGAAAATATCTGAAATTAAGCTAAAAGAAAATATTTGATGACAAATGCGCATCCAAAGATGTCATTACAAGAAAAATAGAGGAATTATAATGCAGAAAAGAAGTATTGAAAATTTCATCTTAAAAAATCGACACACCACTGAAAATTGTTCTTCGCATCACCGTCGGTAGAAAAACTTTTTTTAAAACGTAAAAGTTTTGAGCTACTGTCGTTCTATCGATCAGTGTATTTTATTTGTTTGTTTTGAAATTATACTTTTTCCGATATGTAATATTAGACGTGAAAAGGATATTCCTTGTTGTCAAATTTATGATTTATGATCATTTGTTCCTGATAAAATACTGAATTCATTGAGATTAGGACATTGCTCTTTTCATCTTACGGATTCATCCACATCAGTCAATGAAAAGAAATTAGATTTCGACGTTTTCTTTAAATGTCTAGATTCTTCATAATGAATTGATTTCTGATATAAATATTAATTGAGTCACAAATTAAAATGGCGCAGCATGTGTTATGAAGCAATCCTATATGGATGTTTATTTATCATTATTATTGTTTTATTGCTAATAAGTAACCTCATGTATTTTAGTATGCAATATCTTGATGACGACATTGACAGAACAAAGTTCCAAGTTTTATGACGCTGATGTTCAGTTTTATGATACTAATATTTATACTATTCAATACTAAAGTCGACTACGTTTGAGAGTGGCACATACATAGAGCAAACAACTGGTAATCATTGCTTCCCCCTCCCTTATTAGATGAAAAACAAACACAGATGTCATCTATTTATTATTACCTGTTGCTACTATTTGAACCTTATGTGCTTGTGAGGTTGTTTATTTTTTAAAAATATACATACATAAACATACAGGCAACGTGGAAATGATGAAAATTGTAAAAAACAAAAAATTAATTAAAATAAGGCAATATAAATTACTTTAGCTAAGCCAATTACTGGTAGGCACATTTTCTTTTAAGGCAAAAAACGTTTCATATTTGACATTATATTCTGGTGTTCGATTTTCTGGTGCTTTATATCTTATTGTTGATTTATCAGCCAAATATCCGATAAGTTCACATTGTTCTTCAAATATATAGAGTTTTCGTCGAAATTTTCGACGTAGATAATCAGAACTTTTGGAATTGTATGCTTTCAAATGATATGCTGCATAAATTAATGCTGAACTTTTAATGGATAAAAATGGAAATTTTGGTTTAAAAGAACCGGTGGCTGTTAAACTTTTAATAATTGCATTTGCAACTGTTTGTTCTAGATAACCGAGACAGGGAAGATTAATAATATCTAATGGATTTTTAGGTGGTGGAAGTTTATTTGGTAATTGTAATCGCCAATATTTATCCGGTTGTCTGTGAATAATAACAGAAGTATACAAAAATGTAAAAATAAAATCGATTTTTAACATTACTCACCTCATAAATTTTTCTCTCGCTTGTTCGTTTAACATAAAAAATAGTTTATCACGATATTGTACTGCATAATCTTGACCTCCCATAACAAGACATTCATATCTTAAAGAAGAACGAGTTAGTTCTCAGTTATGTTTTTTTTGGCATTGTTCTAGCTTACTTTTTATCTCCATTGAGATAAGTGACAGTGCAATATCCTGAAAATTCAACGGGTTTTGGAAATAATGCTTGAACTTCAGCAGCTGTAAGTCGTTTCGGACGTCTATTTGGAGGTGGTGGTAGTTTTTTTGGCTCAATTGGTGCAAAACGTTCTGGATCTGCCAGAAACATGTTCAGTTCATCTAGACCCGCTGTACGATAATAGCGTCCTTTAAAAAATAAAAGCCAGTTAATAACATTGAAATTAATGACATAATCTAGACTAACCTCTGTATTCTGCGACATAATCCGTTCTTGTATCTGCCGAACAATCAACCAGTTCATCTCGAAGTACCAATGAAACGGGACAATAATGATCGAATTCTCCAAGACGATTGAATAATTCTTGTGGAAGTACACAGAGATCACTGATACTAGCTGCTTTATCTAAACCGATAATTGAATTATGAGTAAAAGAAATAAAAAACATATGAAGATTTTTATACTTTGTGCTTTTCGTTCAAGATAATTTTGTATTTTACGCGTGACATTACACGTTTCGTTCATCACGATATCCCATACTTTCCATTTACTATTTTTTCCATTAACGGTAATCCAATTTTTATGTTCTTTCGAATACCATTCTCTAGTGGGTCCTACTTCATGTTGATAGACAGCATATTTTTGTGATATAGCTTCGACACTATCAGGCATCACGTACAATCGACTGTAGAAACATCAATTAATATATATTATATATAAAACTCTTTGAAAATATTGTACATACTTTGGATCATTTCTATCTTTAATTGCTCGTTGAACACATTCTGTTAAATCACATTGTAATTCAAATAGTTTAAATGGAATTATTCCTTTTTCGGATAATAATTCAGAATGTTTTTTTGTTATTGGAAATCCATCCAGTACATAACTAGAATAGATTTGATTTATATTTAACAACAGACTAGAGATAATTGCTGAATGATTTTTACCCTCTTGTTTGACATTTAACATCCATTAATGCAATTTCTAAACATTGAATAGCTATTTCAGGAATAATATCGTTACCAGCTAACAAAGTAGTTTGCATTTGTTTGCCAAGTACGGTATTTATTTCTTTTTCTAAAATGTATCGAACAGCATCGCCTAATGACACACGTACACAACCAATTTCTTGAACTAATCGTTTAGCAACTAAATAAAAATCATTAGAACTTTGTTTTTTTTTGTGTTAAAATTGTTTAAGATCTTTTTTAAGTACCAGATGTTTTTCCCGATTTTGGTGGTCCAAGAAGTGCTATCTTAGCTGGTATAATTGGTTTCGGTGTCGGTTGTTGTAAGTAGAATAATGGATTTTTCAAAAATTCAACTCGTGCCTCGTCATCAGCCAAATAATAAACATTTTTTCTGTAAACTACCGTACGTGGTATTTTATCTGGTCCGTATGCGGGTGGAAAACAAACGCCATTGTGTATCTAGAAACACTATCAACAGTTCAAATCAAAGATATTTTCTTTGTGCTTAGAATACTTACGGACACCGGACACCATTTTCCAAATCGACTGTAATGTAAATAGCCAACATCAATTAATTGTTGAGCTAATTCGGGTTTAATAATATAGACACGTTCTAATAAATTTTGTCGTAATGTTACAAAGCGTTCAAGTTTCTTTGCTATACGATTTTTAACATAGCGTGGTTTCCCAGAAGCATCAATTTGATAAGTGGATACAAATTCTTCTTGAAATATACGCTAGACGATAGACAATAGATACGTCAACTAAACATGAAATGATATTTGAAACTTTAAATTGATATACCTTAACACCCTCTAGTTTATCTTTAACATCAGTCATTTGTTGTTCAATGATTTCACCAATTCTACCTTCGGCTGCTTGCTCATCTTCTTGTTCCGTTTCTTCCTCCTCTTCATCGGGTGGAAATTCTAAAATAAAATCTAAATTAGTTTCAAATAACGGTTAATGACTGAAATATTTACCACTAGCAAGTGTTTGTTCAATTTCGTCATCTTCTGGCTGGTCACCCTAAAAATGAATTAATAAATATAAAAATGAATTAATAAATATAAAAATGAATTAATAAATATAAAAATTGAATAATTACGTGACAATACCTGTTCGATTTTTTGTTGACGTTCAGCGAACAATTCGGCTTTTCGTTGTGCATATGCTATTTTCTATGAGAACAATATAAAAATAAATATATTACAATAATTTAATTTTTGTATTTATTCTTACCCTATCACGTTCTTTTTTCGCTTTTATTAGTGCTCGTTTTTGTTTTCGTGTTTGTATTTTTTTTCTCCATTGATCCATTCGTTGAGGCAATATTCGTTTTAAAACTTCTGAACTTTCAGTATCCAATTGTATAACAACATCTGGTATTAAACTATTTTCAATCATATAACCTGTCTCGTCCTCATTATTTGGAAAACCTTCGAGAATAATACCACGTGATTTAAATGGTTCATCATTCCACCATACTTTAATTAGTTTATCTAAAATTTCCGGTGCCAATGCTTCACCATCTTGTAAATATGCTTTGATGTTTTCTTGTTCCGGTGTTAACTCTTCAACCTTTCAAATAAAAGTTGTACATAAAATTAAAAATGAGAATGAAAAGTGTACATTTGAAATATTCACCTCATCAGGAGTTTTTTCTGATTTTTCTTCACTTTCCTCACTGAAAATAAAGAAATTTTAATAAAATAATGTGTTGTTTACACATAAAAGTTATCAACTTACTTATCAGGATCTTCGCGACCTTCAGCAAATTCTGGTCCAATTTTCATTTTTGTTTTGGCTATAATTAATTCTTGTAAACGATCACGAAATTTTATATGAAATATATTTAATTTTTTTGCTAATTCTCTTGCATGCAGACTTTTACCAACACCTTCAGCACCAATAAATAACATTCGAATTGCTGGTAACTAAAAAATGTTTAAATAGACATCCTTTTTTTCCGTGTTGTTCATATATTTTGTTTTTAATTTACTTTTGGTGGTTTATCTGTTGGTAGATATTTTATTGGATTTTGCATAAACGCTGTTCTTGCATCATCAGTTGAAAAACGATATGCTTTTCCTTCGTATGATGCAGTTAAATCTGGTTTACCCGGTACAAGAATATTTTTATCCAATAGTGCCACTGGACAATAGATACTTGTATCGCCAAGATGTTTTTTACGATCTTTTTTAAATAAATCATTATCGTCTTCCTCTTCTTCACCTTCATTTCCATCTAGATCATGGTATGAGATTCATATAATTTAAGAAATGTAGAATATTTTCTTTTAATAAAACAATCTAAATTACCTTCGTCATTTTCTTCACCATCCTCTTCTTCTTCATCATCTTGATCCGCAGTCTCCTGCACAACATATTTAAATTGTTCTAAAAATAAAATAGATTAGTCTTTATATCTTTAACAATACTTTTACATTCTATTTTACTTTCTAATCCATCAATTGTTTCTGTAACGATTTCATCATGATTTTTTATACTAGTATCTTCTTTCATTAAATCAATAGTAATTGGTTCAATACCCATTGTATTTGTTATCAATTTTACCAATGCATTTATTTTATCCACGTCTGCTTTTACTTCTTGTAGAAATTCATTTAACTCGACACCTGCTGGTGGCATTGTTGTCTCTTCATTCGATACACTGGAGATTGGCACTGGTGGACGATTTAAATCTGGATCTTAGAGTACAAAAAATAGATTAAACCAAAATTCAAAGAATTCTGATGCTATTATTTACTTACTACTAGTTTTATCGACATCTTTACTCATGGATTCATCCTCTAAAAATGTTTGTAATGTTTAATCATATGATGACTAATGATATTCATCTACCTTCTGGTATTGTTTCAGGAATTGTGTAATCTTCTTTTTTTGGTTCATATTTTTTATCTTCAAGAATGGCGGCTTGCATTTCTGTTATAAAATTTAATAATATGAATTATTATAGTGATAATCTCTAGTGATAGATCAACTTTTCTTTCACCTTTTTCTTCTCTGTCATCTTGTTCTTCTTCGACAGTTTCTCCTGCATCAATTTTTCGTTGTCTTTCCATTTGACGTTCATTTCGTTCTTGTTCGGCAATCTTTTTCATTTCTTCCATTTGTTGTCTAAAACAATTTTAGAATTTCTTTTTAATACATCTCATAAGAAATAAAACTATTGTTTACTTTTGAGCTTCATCTTTTTGACGACGTTCAACTGCTTCTCGTTCTAAACGTTCTCTGATTTGTCTATCAATATCTGTTTTATTTGCTGAATACCAGCGTTTTTGTAATGCTTCTAATTTATCGCTTGAATCAAGTAAAACCACTATATCATCAGGTTGTATATTTTTCTCGGCTAAATTTGCCCATATATCATTCTCATATGGAAAATTAACAAATATCCAATTACCAAATCTAAATTTTTAAGATAAAAATGTGACTAACTCAGTGGATAATTGGTATAGAATATTTACAATGGTCCAGTCGGATTTTTTTCTCGATGTTTGGCTTCAACTGCTTGAATTGCTTTTTGTATTAAATCAGCGTATACATCAGCTGGTATATTAATAGCAGCTTTCCGAGCTTCTTCAATGGCTAATTCAACAGCTTTTTTAACTTCTGGATGATCAGCCGTAACTTTACCATCACGTTCATATTGAGTTTGTTCATCTTCAGGTCCAATACCACCCAAATCATCGCGATTTATGTCTAAATTACATCAAAATAAAACTTATATGGTTATTGTCGAAATAATTATACGACCTACCAGTATTGTTTTCAAGCGGTAATGAAGATTGATCTTGACCACTTGTTGTGGGAGAAATTTCTTCGGCGTTTTCTTCGGCTTTTTCCTGAGATTGTTCACCTTCTTCATTTAGTTTCTCTTCAGATTTCTCCGCAATTTCTTCTTCTTGTTGAGTTTGATTAGTATCATCATTTGCTTGTTTCTCTAAAATCAGTAACTAATAAATAGTCATAAGTTCTAAATTAAAAACGTTTACCTTCAGCTTCTGCATTCAACTGTTGTTGTACTTTTTCGATAGTTGCTGTTTCAGTTTCCATACGAACATCTTCAACATATCGTTTTCTTAATTCATCTATTTTTGGTTTTGCATATGCATCCATATCAATTACCTAAAATTTCAATATACAATCTTTTAGCGTCTATGATAGCGTTTTAGTTAATATTTACTGTTGCATTATAACGTTTGCCAATATCTGATGCTAATTGTTCAATGCCAGAATGTTTTGGTCCATACAAGAATAGTTTACATGGTGGTCGAGGATCATTGATATAACGACGTGGATTTTTCTGGAATTCTTTTAGAGCTTCTTTGGTCGATAGAACATAAATTTTGTCCATAAAACTAGAATTTTAAATAATAAACAATAGATAAGTGTATTTTATCGATAATTAGTACCTACTGAACGGCTAAATCTTGACGACCGTCGACACGAT